TAGTCCGATAACTCGGCGTCGCCGTATATTTCATCCCCTGTGTGCTCTTGACTTGATGGCTATCTCATGCTAATAAACAATCACTTCTTTCGTTTCAAATAGTGGTATGTGCCCGGAGAAACAAGCCGTTGTTGAAGAGATGAACAGAAACAAGACAGCATTCAAGAGCAACGGCGAAGCATCGCTTCGAAGCAACGTCGATGCTTACGGCTCTCACACGTTACGGCGACAGTCTGGAGCAACGTCGAACGGAATTTGACCTGTCACATTTAATAAACAATGAAAGAGCACAAGTGTTAAAAACGGTCACTCCATCGTGATCCGACATCGGTCGGTCAGCAGCGGCGAAGCGCCAGACGTAATCCGCACATGATTATCATGAAAGCTGTAGTAGCTGATCTGAAAAGGGCAACAAAACCATAATCATTAGTTTAACAACAGCCAGGCTGAATCACAATCGACCGTGTCTTTGCTATCGTTTCGAGGCGAAACGATGGCGGGCGTTACGGGGCTTACGACCCGCAGGTTGGTGAGCATAAAGTTCGCGCAGCACACCGACAACACGCAGGCGGTTACTGCGATACAACAGTGATATCAGTGAAGGACAAAAACTGTGTAAATTTTATTAAATACCATACAGTAAAACTGTCATAAGAGCAAGCTTAACAGCTTCGACAATCTAAAAGCCAGCCCGCGGTCTTGCTAAACCTGATATCGTCTTCAGACTTATAAGAGCGCCGTTTGTAGCGCAGAAATCTGGGCGACCGAAGCCGAATTAAAAACTCAATCACAAAAATCAGCCGAGCTACTGGTCTCCAAGTCGGATAGCCGCTCAACTCCCTTAACAGATTCATAAACCGCAGCTGTGCGCATTAACCTTCAATCAGTCCACTGTGTCAGCAAGCAAAAAGGCTCAGACGTTATTATTCCTGGTGGCTGCAAAAAGTCGTCACATGCCGTTCATGTAGTCAACTCATAAGTCTAATATCGCACTCAGAAACAGCCATCCGTCGAAAGGCAGAAAAATCATTTAAGTCCAAAAATATGTACAGATGAAAGATTGAGAAACGCAATATCCATGAATGAATGCTACAAGAGACGATATTAAAACAAAAGGCAGAGAGTGCACAACCATTTGCCAGTGACATGATTAATGCCGACAAAAACAAAGATAAGGCTCGCGCAATCAATTCTTGCTATATATGCAAGAAGTTGTGGCGTATACGATTTACCCTTCTCTTCTTGTTCGCGACGCAGCTGGTATGGTGTCGCCGATGGACCATTGGCGAACATATCGAAATAGAACTGCAACGATTCGATCTGCCTCAACACGATGTCTCGATATGTTTCGATTTCTGCCAGCTTTTCTTTTAAATTTCGGCCGTTCTTAAAAAATGCGTTAACTGTAACAAAATACGACAGACAAAGAGGGTCCTACTCGAAAAGAAGAACTACTTGCCAAACTCTTGTTTGAAGTCAGTGAAACGAGTGAGCCTTGCCGGTGGAGATCAGTCTGACTGCCATATCCTGATTCTTCCTTAAACAATCATCATTTTTACTGGATCAGAGGGAGTTAAAACGATTGAAGAACGTAAAAAACTTCTTCATAAACGCGCTTTAAATCAAAAATTTTTCAATGCCCAAAAGATGGAATACGTTGATAAGCGCATTCCACAAAACTGATTTAAACAATGCAATTCCACGATCGCACTGCTCCTGAATATCTAGGCAACCGATTCCTGTATTTTACTATTAACGCCTACATAGCACCGATGTATGTAGCATAATTTACATGGCCATGGCAACTTTTTGTCGCCAATGCTGTTTAAAGCCCAATACTTCATAAGCATTTTGGCAGCATCATCAAAAATATGCGCTCTCAGCTGGGAAGAATTTCAAGCGCATTACCGCACCAGAGAAGATTTAACGGCACTGGTTCTCTGCTCATACCTGTCTAACGAGCGGTGCGCGATTAAAGCAAATCATAATTAAATGGCATCTGAACAATCGCAGCATAAAAATATGCCTTGAATCTTTTTACTGATTAGGCCAATATCTTGCTCGTCATCAACATTATTTAGGGAGTTAGAAGTTATCATTGCTTTCCCAGCATCATCACAAGTATGAATTCACAGATGAATAATATGCTGATATGCACAAAATTGAACAGAACGGGGTTTTAACGCACGATGACACCGCAGCTTTGCTACTCAGAATCTGACGGGCTAGTTAGCCAGGTAATAGCACATATTTTGAAATAACAGCCATCCACTCACGGAGTACATCGGGAAGATGAAAAACAATTACCCAACTAGCTAAACAGTAAATAGTCCTAGATTATGTTATACGCATCCTCAGTTGTAATAATAACATCTTCAAACCGTAAAGATAACGCTGCCCATAGAGCGTATCAAATGAACGCAATTAGTTTCATCGCCAGGTCCGGAATGCTTCAATATCAAGATCGTTTCACATCCATTATCATCGATAATCAACGATAATTCGTGTTTTAAATCAAGAAAAGTGCATAATCATCCTGAAAACGCATGTTTGCCCGAGTTCAACTTGGGTGATGGCTGTAAAAAACTATAACTAATCCACCGATCTTCGAATAAGCTTTCGTGTTATCAGCGACAAAAGTTGCTCGCAATTCATGGATATTGACGTGACCTCTTTCAGAGTTTTGCTGTAGAACAGCACTCTACGCTGTTCAACTGCGTGATTTTGTGAGGGTCCTTGGGCGAAACTGGTTAAACCACGACAGAAAATGTTGGGTTCGTTAAAATTGTGATCAAAAAGTTTGTCTGTACGGCGCTGTCGACCACTAACTAGATTACGTTTACTGCGGCTTCAAACTTAATAGTGAAGGTCGTGCAAAAACATTTATTCCCGAATTGTGAGTTTACTTAACAATAGGAAAGCATCTGAAAAAAAACTATTCATTTTCGAAAACACCCTGCACTGCTTTATTGAAGAGCTTGCATCAAGAAAATATGACGCAGACTGAAACATATATACGTAAACTGGAGTCAGCAGAAATTCGGACGCACTTGTCACCTTAACATATTACATAACCCTTATTAATTGTTGCCTTGAACCATGAATCAGAAAACGAAGATATTAACTGTCATGCAAACAGGCAACTAATCGACACCTCTGTCCAAACCTGTCAGACCATTTGTTCATTACCTTGTACATTTCTAACGCATCCAGCCATTTCTGGCGTTCCGATGGGTCGTTGGTTCGAAGATACCAGATGCAGTCGTTGACAGAAATGTCGATTCGACACTCGTCAAATTCATGAGCCTAAATCAAGCACAGATAGTAAATTCCAGGAAAAACTGCCGTTTTCAAGAGATACCTGTACGGATACTTTCGGAATCGAGACCGCGCCGCGACAACCAAACGCAGTCTCTACTTCAGACCTGTAGTAAGCCAATGTTCCTCCCCGTAGGACGAAATATCGCGGTTGCCATCCATGTATGTAATTTGTCCACTTGTTCAGAATTCCGACAATGACCGGAAATGTATCTAAATTAAAACATCATATCATGTACAGCCTTGCCATATACGTCGTAATTTCAGACCTAAATAACTGATTGCATTATATGGTAAAACTTCTCTAAGTTGATCATTGATGGTAGCACAAAGGCGGTCTGGTCCGTCTTAAAGGGGATACTCTGAAGATCAACTACTGACTGATGATGACATATGTCAGTTTCTCACATCCAACTTAGGCAGTATGTTCAAAATATGACTCCGTATATTTACCGATTCAGGCAACTTAGCAGATCACTTTTTTAGGAGGAGAGCAACTACCTAGAAACCTTTGAAAATGATACAACCCTTCCGCCAATAGGGCAAGCTCCACCGCAATGGATTCTAAGATGCCGGAAATTTCAGGGGCTCGATACGCTAGAACAGTTTGTTCCTAGATCCATCCCTTCGCCGCTTGTCATGTAGCTTGCGGATCTCTCAGGCCCGCATTTCATGCAAAAGCTATTGCAAATACGCATTAAGTATATACGTGCCGAGTTGTGGTTAGATTTAATATAGCGTATAACATTTTGAATTGAGGTGTAATACTAATAGGAACAAATTTACACATTCAGAGTTGTGCTCTGAGATGTGATAACAGTACTCCACATGTAGCGAAATTCAATGGCAATAAACCGTTAGCAACTGTTTTTCTTGCCCTCAACGATTAATAAATAGGCGAACAATCTGATTTTATCAACGATCCCAGAATCGAAAATGTTATGTCATCTTTATTAATAAGAACAAAGGGTAAACATGTTTTATTTCCTAAACAAGCATATTTACTACAAAGCAACATGAAGTCCTCTCTGCAGCATTGTTATATGCACAGTATAAATCAAAATAAATGGAATAGCATTTGTCAATGCAGGCAAAATAATTCAAACAGCGTACACTCTCTTGTGGTCAGTTTGCCTTAAAGTATGAACGCACGGTTCTCGACTACGTAATCTGTGATACCATTTCTAAATGCTGGACGTCACAGATCTTAGTTATTCTGCTGATTAAGAGCGTTGCTGGTCCCTATTGACGATTACAAAACAACACCAACGCAATTCATATCTCAACTTGAACCAGGACTGTACATCATACCAGTTGTCAATGAAAGCGCCAGCTGTTAACTTCTCAGTACTTTCAGAGTTAAGTGCGATTTGCTTCTAACATGCTAAAAGATTATTTAAAGCCATAACGAGAACCATGAAACTGGAGCTTACACGAAAAAACCTGTATTCTTAAAACGTTATACAAGCGCTAGCAAGATTTGAAAGGAATAACATTTCAAGGGATTTCTAAAACTTCAAACTTTCAACTTAATATTTCCCACATTTCTACATGAAGTTTAGCCAGTAGTTCTGTTAGAATTAACGTATCTGCAAAGATGCATCACATTTCATGCCAAATGTATGCAGGTCTCACTTCCATAAACACTTTTTATGGAAGAGACAACGCAGAAAAAGAACATCGAACAATGATCTATCCGCTCAGAGTTGCTAACATGCTCATAGAGGAAGAATTCGCGGTTTCATTTTGTGCGAAAACAAAAAAGGAATGCATAATGGCGTCTGAAGAATCACCGATGATGAACAAGACATGTCTCGAACCAAAAATATGATGCGCGATGCCGACAGATACTAAAAATATCAAAGAAATAAGGAGTAATACCGTTGGCAGACATTTAGGTATACAGCACTGGCCAGTGACGCCATGAAATCTAATTTGGTGGCATTGTGTATTGATGTAAAGCCACCGCTAACTACAGCCTGCTGTCACTTCCAGTAGTTCTACGCCAAACAGTAATGTCCGCTGCACGGAGACGCTTCCATCATCATTAGATATGAGTGGAACAGTAGTGACAGCTCCTTTTTGATAGATCTGTCATTGAGGTTAACACTTTTTCCACAGATTCTTTGTCCTAGCTAGAATGATAAAGTTCTGAGACCCATCGGAAGCGGTGACAACAGATCATTTTTTGACCGATCACAAATCGCAGCAGTAGAACAAAAATGATCTCCCTCTTAGTTAAATGATACTCATACTGCTGGCTTCTGCGTAGTAATCATTGGTTATAGACTATCATTTAAAAGACCGTATGAAAATAAGTTTGACCAAAAGCTAGACTCGGTACGTACTCTCGAGAACAGCCACTCAGTGTGATTTGCAGGTAAGAAGAGTGCAGCTGACAACTGAACAAAACGGAAAAACTTAAGTACCGTGGGACAACAACGTTTAGGCGTGACGACAGGTAATACACGTAAATATACAAAATCAGTCAAGTCAGTACAATCCGGGAGCTAACCGGTATAAGGGCGAAGAATCAGATGAATAGTTATGCAAAGCCATCTGTCATAAAATCTTCAACAAGCCCACCATATTATCATCATGACAGTTGGATAGTAACCGAAAGAGTGCGAAAGCGGAAAAGCGGTAGACATGAATCTTCTTAATGGCTGCTACTTTTACGAGGACCGACAAGGTTCAGAATATGTCTTGGCAACGCCTCATATTAAGTGAGTTCTCAGCTTTCACTCAACATTTGAATACTAATCGAAAGAAGGCCATCGCTGATACAAAGGCAAGAAATGAGATTTTTTCAAAGGATGGTAGGTGCTAGGCCGACCGATAAGTTTCAGAACACGGCAATGGGGATACCATCCCCTGTGAGCTGATATTTTTCCAGATCGAGAGATCACAACTACGCAGGTCTGTGTAGGTTAGGATGACCTAGAGAAGAACTGCAACGCAAGGCGGACTGAACTCTAGAAAGCTACATGGAAAGCGGTCAAACGGCAGACCTAAAACTGGATACCTCGACTCACACTATGTACCATATCCTATATCCTATACCAGTACCACGCGACTCTTTCCGCAGCAGCAAACGTTGACAAATATCAACATGAAGTACAATTTCTAACGGCCAGGCACCATAAATTGGGATTACTCCGCTGTTTAAGCTCAATTAGCCTAAGACGACGATGACAAAGCAGTAACAACAACGCCTTGACTATGACTTGGATCTCCTAACATTGGAGCACGAAAACCACGGGCTTTGAAGAGTTCAATCAATGTGGGATGTGAATCGCTACAACAAAGATCTGAGAAAAGTCGTGTCGTGAATCTTGTTTTGCCAAGAAGCGCGTGAAAACTTTTACACATTTGACATTTCGATCAGTTTATCATCAACATAATGTTTACTCGATAGAAAATGAGCTGCTTTTCCTTGTTCTTTTTCTGGCCGTTTCAACAGCGACCAGCGAAGTCGCTCAATGAAGCTGATTCTGAATTGTTTGTAAACCTACTTCTCAGATAATGGCTTTAAAATTTGATTTGCAAAAATGTACATCGTCGCCTCCGATCAGCTGGCTCCAATCTGAGCATCCCCGTAACAGTCTGCACTAAGCGATGAACGAAACCGCCTAACAGACTCATCGGCTGACTTTGTAACTCAGTAGACGCCTTGGTGGTCTTAAGTATGCTGGGGAATAGTTTGACCATTGTAAAGCGAAAATACGATCTCACAAACCACAGACAATACTAGCAACAGACCTGACCAAACAACAGAGCAACGATTCACAGGTACCACCAGCTTTCGCTTAAAGAAAGACGTCATTAATGCAATTTGTGCACTCATGCACTATAAATAAAACCTACATGGACAGGATCTGATCTTGCTTTTGTCACAAGCGCGCATCTCCAGCGAAGACTGGAGCCTGAGAGGCTGCTGCAACGATGACTACGAGATATTCACGAAGAAACTGAGGCAATGCGTAAAGTCAGCCAATGCGGTAGCATCAAACAGAGCGAAAGAAAAGATCTTAGAAGAAACAGCTTACCAGAGAAGCGGGGAAGGATGAAGAGAGATGATACCGACTGAATGGAGTACTCTCTTTCTCTTTCTGGAAGTTCAGCAGACGAGAACTGAAGGAAGACATCGAAGCCACCTGACTGCGAAAATTAGAGAAAACAGCCGAAGACCTCAGAAACCTCAGTGAATGCAAGAAATTTAGCGCTTTATCAGTGAAGTATTATGACGATGAAGAACAGTGATGGTGCATCAATGTCTGACACAGTGAGATGCAGTTTATTTGCAAGAACTATTACACCCTGCTCATTGCGTCAAAAAAA